AAACCTTTTTAAAGATAGTTATTTAGTTTCTGGGGTTTTTTCTGGTATGAACTATCTTCTTTGTCTATTCATCTACTTGCAGCTCCCTAGAGTTCCTATTTATCTGAATAAGTTTAAAATACTAACCATTCAAAATATTAATTTATTGCAAGTATTATAGATTAATAAAATTTTAGAGATGAAAATTACCTAAGTCCAAATCCCTCATTTCATAAATGAGAAAACAAATTTAAATAAGTAAAATGATTTGCTCAAAGACATATCATTACCTAATTGCAGGACCAGCAGCAATCAAATTTAAGATCTCTTGGTTCTCTATCCACTCCTCTTTCTACCATACCATACAAAATGTTTTTTAAATCTCTCATGGTGTTGTGAGTGTAGGAAAAAAGCATTTACGTTAGTGTCAGTGTAGTTTATGGCAATGGTCTAAGTAGAGGGAGAAAGGGTGCCTTCAAGAGTCCTGTCAGAATCTCCAGATTTTCATCTTTATACATGTGACTTCACTAGCATCTATAGAAAACTGCTATTAGAGTGGGCAATGGTAAGAGGAATTAGGTTGACCCTACATCCCTTCCTTGGGGGAACTATCCTTTCCCCACCATATAATAATTCTGTTTAGTCCATGTGGTACTGACCCTGCTTTTATTCTGCTCTGGGTACAGGCATGTAATCCAAGACTACCAACAAAATACTTCATTCTCCTGGCCACTTTGCTCATGGATGGGCAGATCATAATTAGGGCCAATAGCAGTCCTCCCTAGATTTGTGCTGATGCTATAAACTACGAGAGCCAGGTAGACTTGGGGCTATCCACAGACGTCTTTTCGCCTCCCAGAAAATCTACCAGAGAAATGAAGGCAGACAAAGCCAAGACCCCTGAAAACAACTATATATGAAATCAGGCCAGCTTTGAACGTAAGTCAATAATTTTCCTTTTGCTTTTAAGCTAGTTTGAGATTCTTCTTTTGGTTACTCAAAATTGAGTTTCTTGGATCACTCCAGGCTAATGTATATTTCACACTTTACTATCACAGTGAAAAACTATTAATGAAGAAAGTATGTCATTTCCCTTATGTGTGTTGGTCAGAATAAAAGGTTGAGAACCAGATTTAAAGGACAGTGTATTACATAGAAAATAAAACAGAATCAGTGATATAAATCTGTAACAGCACATGTACCAAAGCAAATATAAACAGCCATTATTATCTTTTGAGACTAAAATTCAGTTAGGTATGTCATGTAAGCAGAATTGATTCATTAACAATAACTACAATTCAATTTTCACACATTTTGTTCTTTGAATTAGATGATTAACTTTTTAAAAATTTAATTTTAAGACTAACTGGATCTTATGAATGGTTATATTAATTTTATCCTAGTATTTTCAGGATAAGCATGTATAGATCTTAAATAAACACATTTACATTCAATGTAATACTATCCACCACTATGCAAAACTCAATTTAGACCAGTTAACCTTAGATTCCAAGAGTTTAATAGTGAGGGAGATATTAAGTGGTTTTACCTAGAGAGACTACAGGAAGGTTTCACTTTACTTATTAAGCAGCCATATAAACAGGATTACAAGGTTGAGTAAATAAAGCAAAGTCCTTGAGTCATGTAAAGGTAATTATATGCATACCTGAGAGTTCAGTCAGTTTTTCAGCTCTTTTACTCTTAGTTACAATTATTCCAATCTCAAAATAAAAACAAAAATGATTATTAATATAACAAATTATTTCCTCTTGATAAGAATTTGTATAACTAAAATAAATTAATAAGTACAAAAGAAGCAACATATGAGAAACTTTTTCTCATGGTGTTTTTGGCAAATAAATTTACCTATGAGTTCACTGTATATTGTTTAACTTTTATAGTTATTATGCTTTTCACTGATAAATGTACCAGAAACCGGTATACAATCTGGGTCACTTAACAATTCACATATATATGCCCTATATTTTAAAAATAAATTATATTTGGCAGCAAAATAGGAATCTAATTCTGAATTCAATCACTTATCTACATACCTGACTAATAGGATTCTGATCAAAATATTCCTCTACGAAGTATTCCAACAACTGTTTAAAAAAAACAAAAAGGAAATACTAGATAAGGGCAAAATAACAACCATACAGAACATGTCTGATTAATGTTTTATGAAACCTACTTACCAAGCATCACTTCTCATGGTTTTTAAGCTTGTAGATTTTTAAAAAATGTTCAGTTGTAAAAACGTTAAATAGTAAAAACATTAATTTGAAATGGTGGGTGATGAGATAGGTTGTTTGAGCTAGGTTTTAAAAGAAGATGAAACCATTTGGACATGTCAGAAAAAATCTAAACAGGAAAAGATCCAATGAAGACAGAGATGGGAGAATGAGCAGAACTGAGGATGGGTTTTGATATAGGAATAATATGAATGTGTTTCTAAGCTGAGGAGTTAAGAGTCAAGTAAGTCAAAGGAGAATGAAGATTCAAATAAAGAAAAGGGCCGGGTGTGGTGGCTTATATCTGTAACCCCAGCTACTCGGGACGCTGAGGCAGCAGGATCACTTGAACCTAGAAGTTTAAGGCTGCAATGAGCTATGAAGGCACCAATGTGCTCCAGGCTGGGCAACAGAGCAAGACACCATTGAAAAGAGAAAAGAAGAGAAAAGAAAAGGGATAACTGATAAAGCAAGATCCTGACTTGGGGTAGGGGAGTAGAAATAAAAAACACAAATAATTAGCTATATTTGGCTCACCATTTCCCTAAATAATCTGGCAGTACTTCCACACAGCTTTACTTTGTATTAACTAAAAACATAAAACAAAAAACTACTGTGTTCTTTAAAAATGTTATTTAGAATTCAGTGTTCTTCCCCACATTTAGTAAAAATTTAAGTGATTTTAGAATAAATTTAAATTATTTAGTATAAATTTAAATGATACCTTTAAAGTACATGTCAGTCTATTGGGCTTCAAATCTTGGTCTTCCATTGTTCTTGATCCATCTACGACCACATAAAGGTGGCGCATCTACCAGGAATAAAAAAGGACAATTTTCAAGTACATTTTTGACTGAGAAGTAAAAATGGTATTTAATATTTACATATTCTATGCATATATTTTAATATATTATTTTTAAAAGTTTATTGTCTTACTATTATTTATTCTTTCAAGCCAGAGTGTTTCTCTAATCCAAAGTAGTTCTTGTACCAGTAAAACAAAAAATAATAACATACCATTCCAAGCCGAACTTGTCCATGGTGCTCAAATACTCTGTTAAAATCATACAAACGTTTTAATGGAATACCATATATAACCCAAAAAAAATCAATACAACTTTCCAACTAACCTGCATTTTTTAGTGAATTAAATTATTAACTTAAGGAAATACACATAATTATAGGCATTGTGGATAGTCCCTGAAGACCACTTCTCTGCTGAGGCAAGGCTAGGTGGCTAGTTCTTTCCCTCTATTCAGAAGACTAGGACGGGCGTGGTGGCTCACGCCTGTAATCCTAGCACT